AAAAAAAAAAAAAAAAAAAAAAAAAAAGAGAGCAAGAAAGTAATCAAGATGCAAGCCAGAGTCATTCATAACCTAACCTTGGAAGTGACATACCATCACTGAAGCAAGTCAAAAAGTCCCATCCACACTCAAGGGAACGGATTGTATAAGGGTGTGAATACAAGGAGGTAGGGTCCACTGGGGCCATTGTAGAGGCTGCATACCACATTTCCTTAATCCCAAATTTCCTCACTGCTACCAAATGGATGCTGCTTCCTGAGCCACAGCTGATTGGACCAGGAGCAGGTTCCTGACTCAGGCACATCCAACCCACAAGCTGACGAGATGTGTCTTGGTGAGAGCTAAGCCCAGTAGAGGTGATGATTATAAAGTCCAACCAATTACCTTCTCTTTCTGTGTTCAATTTGATCTGAAGATGCAGCAGATGGGAACAGTGTCACTGAACCCTATCAATGGCAGAGCACAAGAACATGAATTTCTGCTGCTGGGGAGGCAGTGAAATGAATCCTGACCCACTGTTGGTGCTAGACTTCAAGAGGGTAAGCTGTGCTACCTTTTTACCCTTTGAAACCTGCTTGTTCTGCCTTTCACAAGTTCCCAGAAGTTATTATTGCCTGGCTAAGAAATTCATGTTTTACTTATTTTCCCATAAAGAAAGCATCTCTTACCACTCATGCCCTAAGGAACACTATGCCCTGCCATCAGAAGAGTCTAAGACCATGTGGAGCCATCAGGTGGTCTACCACAAACATGCCCAGGTCAATAAATGCATGGGTGCTCACAGCAAGAAAAGATCTGTCAATCAACAGGTGTTTTTGAAAATAGCCACCATTTATGGAGGGTACTTATCTCAGTGCTTTACCTGAATTATTTTATTTAATGCTCACAATTACCCTACACCCTCTGTCTTATTATCTCTGTTTTACCAATAAAAACAGAGCCTTGCCCAAGCTCAAAGAGCTGATAAGGAGCAGAGTCAAGATATGTGTCTAAGTCTTTCTAATTCTAGAGCCTATTACATTAGGCCACTTTTCCAGAAACTTCCAGTTCCAGGTGTGTCTCCATCATCAGGTGTGACCTTAGATATGTGTGTAGTAAATAAGTTAACATTGCCTAAAGAGAGGCCTGGACTTTGTGCTCAGGTCTTGAGAGGTGATGTCTAAGCCCTTGCAATGTCATGCCTGATAAAAGTTTTCCTGGGGGCTTTGGGCCACACCAGAAAGTCTAACATTGTGATGTATGTTGGGGTCTTTGAGTCATGTGGTATCAGCTTAACTTCTAGAGGGGCTGGGGGCTTAGGCCAGCCACGTGGGCAGTGACCATGTTTCTGCGATGGAGCCCAATACAGGCTCTGGAGACTTCCTTGGTTGGCAATACTCCATGTGTACTGTCAAACAACATTACTGAGAAAGTAATGCTGGGTACATCTCCCTGGGAGAAGATAACTGGAAGCTCTGTGTTTGGAACTTTCCTGGATTCTGTCCCATGCATTTCTTCCCTTAGCTGTTTCTATTCTGTTTTCTTTTGCTGTAATACACTATAACTCTGAGTAGAATAGCTTTCAGTGATGCTGTGAGTCCTTCTGGTAATATCAAACCCAAAAGTAGTTTGGGAAATCCCTGAACTTGCAATTAGTGGCAGAGTCAGGGCAATTTTGTGATCTGTTCTCTGGCTTTGTAATGTGTCTCTCAGGCTTTCAGCCTGAGTTTCCTTATCCATGACACTGGACAAGATGACAATAATTGCTTTACTTACGTGGAGCTGGAGGCAGTGTGGATAACAAGCTCTGGAGTTGTGCAGTGCACATCCTGAGAAACCCTATGTGGCAGCCCTGGCTATCTTGTAAGTGGTTGTAAGGACTGAATCTTTTTGACATTTATTGAGCACCCACTCTGGAGATCCATAGATAAGTAAGACATGACTCTTGTCCTCAAGGGCTTATCTTACAGGGATGAGACCGATAGGAAAGAAACATTTGATAAGAAACAGTGTCACAACCATGTTATTTTTTAAAAATCTTACTGAAGCCTTACAAAGATACAAAAAAGTACGCACATTTGCTTGTATGGCTCAATGAATGCTCATGAAGTGAACACATCCATGTAACCACCCAGGTCAAGAAGCAGAACATGACCCAGAAGCATCCTAAAGCCCTAGTTCTCTTCCTAATCACCTTTCTTCTTCCTCTCCACATGAAGCCACTACCTTAACTTCTAGCAGCGGGCTTGCATGTTTTTCAACTTTATATAAGTGGAGTACTACCATATGTATTCTTTTTGTGTCTGGCTTCTTGCTTAATGTTATGTTTGTGAGATCCATTCAAGCTGGAGCTGGAAGCTGTGACTCATTTATTTCACTGCTGTAAAGAATTCTGTTTTATGAACATACACCACAATATACAATATATAAAAATCTATTCTAGCCCTGATGTACATTTAGGCTTTTTCTACCTTTTGGCCAACAAAAATTATACAGCACTGAGCAACCTTAGAGGTGTCTTTTGAAGCACATGTGTATGCATTTCTGTTGGCTACCATGGTAGGCAAAGTAACAATCCCTCAACGATGTCTGTGTCCTAATCCCTAGAACCTGTGAATATGCTACATTTCATGGCAGACGGAATGGAGGTAGAAAATGGAAGTAAATTTGTTAATAGCTGACATTAGAGTAGGAAAATTACTCTGGATTATCCAGGCAGGTACAGGGAAGTGCAAAGATCCTTAAATGTAGAAGAGGGAGACAGAAGAGGAGGTCCCAGTGACATAACGTGAGAACTCCCCTCTTGCTAGCTTTGGGACCATCAGACAGCGACTGTGAGTGGGCCTCTAGGAGCTGAAATGGTTAAGGAAATGGATTCGTTCATAGAGTTTCCAGAAGGAACACACCTTTCCTGACACCTTGATTTTAAGTCAGGAAATCCACTTCCCACTTCTGAGCTGCAGAACTGTAGGATAATAAACTGGTATTCTTTTAAGCCACTAAGTTTGTGGCAATCTGTTATGGCAGTGATAGAAAATTAATGCAACTATATTCTGACAAGTAGAATAACTGAGTGTGTACATGTTCATCTCTTATACAGATTGTCAAGCAATTTTTGATTGTGGTTGTACCAATTATACTCCTACCTGGAATCTATGAGTGTCCTCATTGCTCCACACCCTCATCGATGCTTGATGGCATCAGTCTTTTTAATTATAGCCATTCTGTTATGATATCTCATTTCTATTTCTGTATGTGTTCCTCTAATTACGAAGGCAGTGGAATAACTTTTCATGTGATTATTGGACATTTGGGTCTCCTCCTTCGTGAAGGGCTGATCAGATCTCTCGCCATGTGTGATATTGGAATAGAGTAAGATATATTTGGCCTTCATCCCCAGTTCCTGCCCCAGAGCTCCTGAAACTCTTATAATTTCCTTTTGGTAAAATGTTTAATTAACTGATCTTCTCTGATATCTTTTTGTAGGGAGCATCTTTTATTCCAATAGTTGGTCTTTGGCCCCAGTTCCTGACACAGCGCTCCTGAATTCCTTGAAATGTTCTCGGTGATAGGAGTGTCTTTTGTCAAATGACATGACTCTTGGTGGACCCCTGGGTGGGAGCTGGTCACCAGAAGTTTGTGATACTGCCATGGCTAGAAGCTTGGAACTTTCAGCCCTACGCCCTATCCTCCAAAAAGGGAAAAGGACCTGGAGATTGAGTTAATAATTGATTATTGCCTCTGTGATGACACCTCCATAAAAATCACTGACATATGGAGTTCAAAGAGCTTCTGGGTTGCTGAATATATCTGCATGCTGGGAAGATGGTGTACCCCAACTCTAAGGGGACATCCCCTGCACTCAGGACCCTTCCCCACCTCACCCTATGTACCTCTTCTTCTGCTCCTCTGTCTCCTTTATTATATGGTAAACCAACAAACATCAGTGTTTCCCTGAGTTCTGTGAGCTGTTTTAGCAAATTGTCAAACCTGAGGGGAGTTGTGGGAACCTCCGATTTGTAGCCAGGTCGGACAGAAGTGTGGATAACCTGGGGACCCACCACTTGTGATTGGCGTCTGAGTGGAGGGCAGTCTCATGGGCTGAGCCCTTAACCTGAGGGGTCTGCACTAACTCCCGGTAGGCAGTATCAGAATTGCTTGGCATGGGAAGCAAAACACCACACATCTGGTGTCAGAAGTGTTGAATATAGAAGGAAAGACAGTTTTTTCTTAGTCGCGTGCTGTACCTGTTTCCCGTTGTGATAAAAGAGGAATAGAATTTAAAACATAGCTCTCTAGTTATGCATAAAGCCACTCTGCATCCTCAAGTAACAAAATTAGGATTTTCTTTAATATTTTATGAGATTTTTTTTCTTTTCTTACTTGTCTTTAAAATAGTGTTGCAAACAGAAGCAGATTCTAGTCTGGCTATCACAGTATGCCTATTTTAGAGGGCTACAACATAAACCCACATACACACACACACACACACACACACACACACACAGTTGCAAACATATATGGGATAGTAGAAAGAAACATGAAACAACTATTAAAGCCACTAATAAATACGTTTAAAACAGTAGTCATAAACACTAACAGACCATTAGGATATTATTTATAGATTAATAATCTCTGCATGAGACTATTTCATTCAGAGGCTCTGGGATGAGAATATTAGGGCTGGCCTGGGTATTGAATGATGAGACTGATATATGATTTTCTTCAGCTGATATAACTTCTAAAATAAATCATTCATACAGTTGGTGACTCATACAATCCATTTCAGTATACTCGGCTACTTGTTAGGAGATTTTTATTTAATTTAAGCATTTTCAGTATTGTGGATTTTTATTGCACATTGTTTAGTTTTAAGTCTTCGGCAATTGCTATAATAAGGTTACTAGTCAGAGACTGCAGATAAAGAACAGCAATTCAACAATTAAAAGGCAACCAAGAATGCAATCTGTCGAGTAGCAAAAAAAAATTAGACCTGAAACTGCATGAAGATGGGCTGAAGGCCAAAACTATTAATGCAAAATGTGATTATTTCCAGTGGTAAACCAATATGTGTTGGGCTCCTGTGTTACATGGGGGTTTTGTCAGAGAATCAGAGCACCAGTATCTCCTCCCAGAATTCCCTTTTTAATACTTTCAGGATTTATTATACCAGGCAATCCTGTCCTCTTCCTCTGTGCTTCCTCCCTTTACAATTCCTTCTGTTTTTTTTTTGAGACAGAGTCTCGCTCTGTCACCCAGGATAGAGTGCAGTGACACGATCTTGGCTCACTGCAACCTTCGCCTCCCAAGTTCAAGCGATTCTCCTGCCTCAGCCTCCTGAGTAGCTGGGATTACAGGTAGGCGCCAACACGCCCAGCTGATTTTTTTTGTATTTTTAGTAGACACAGGGTTTCACTGTGTTAGCCAGGCTGGTCTCAAACTTCTGACCTTGTGATACATCTACCTTGCCTCCCAAAGTGCTGGGATTACAGGTGTGAGCCACCCCGACCGGCCTACAATTCCTCTTTCTATGTGTCTTTCCATGCTCAGAAAAAGTAAG